TGCATGTTTGTGATAGGAAATTTCAATTAAATCTGACACCTGTGATCAACATCAGATTTATTATTCATAAGGAACCATAATTGATAATCAGGAAGAATAATTTATTATTGTGAACCCCAGAGATCTGGGTAGACACACATTTATTGTTTAGACTTAAAAAGTTTCATTTCTGCATGGTCTTGGTATTATTTATTATTTGGGCGATGCAATTTTTTGTTATGTCAATGACAACATCAAATGTATTTAATAATCATAATAATCATCATGAATATTTAATGGAGCAGGTACTCACAGAAGGAAAGGATTAAATAGCAACAAAAAAGCTAATGTTAACAGAATAACGTGATTCATTATGCAATTCAATTTATTTATTTTATTTATTTATATTGTTTATTTTTATATTTATTTATTATGATCATTCCATGTACTTATTTGGTTATAATACGGTTTAAACATGATTTCATGTTTAAACTTGAAATCAAGCATAAACAGGAATCAAGGTTAACATGAAACATACTGTTTGAACTTGAAATCGTGCTTAAGCAGTGTATAAGTAATTAACATGTATAAAAGAGATGAGATTTGGATTTTTTTTGAAGGGAAGATTTTTTTGGAAGTTTTAGGTTTTAGAAATTTTTGATTTAGATTTCGACCTTAGATTTTAGGTTTGATTTGTTAATAAACAAAAGGTTTCGACCTATATAAAAATCCACATTATCCATTTAATCAATTAAACCAAAGCTATCTGTTAGCATATTCCTCACTTCATTCTGAAATAAATAAAACTATTTCATTTGCCACCCACTATATATGCTCTCCCACATTAAAATAGTCCAGTGACACTAAGTTTGTTTTTTATCAATCAAAATATATAATTAATTGTATTTAAGAATTTATTATTTTATTCCACTTTTGTAATGGCATTAGCTTCAATAATTCTATTTCCTTAGTATTAATGATTTAATCAATATACAAGTGGTGGTTAATTTAAATGGCATTCATTTTTTTAAATGTGTAAAATTTTTTTAAAAGATGTTTTTACAATAATGATTTTTAATATTGTAAAATTTTTTTTGATAAAATGAAATCTTTATTAATATTAATAAAAAATCAGGAAACATGAAATAATTATTTTTCATGGGGCCAGTTGACCAAATTTTTCAATTTCTCTTCATAAGTTACTGAACAATCATATTTTTTAAATCATTTACTTAAACCTATTCCTGATTCATCTAAGATTAATTCCATTCATATACTTCAATTTTAAAACAATTATAAAAAAACTACAAAGTGAACATAAAATTATATATATAGGGATAAGTGTATATGAAAAGTATTAACAAAAGTAATAAATATAATGGTTCTAATGAATATGAAAAGGCAATTGATTTTTTAGAAAAAGGTTGTAATTGTGGTTGCTCTTCAAGAATTCCCAAAGAAGAATTTGCAGAATTAAGGGAATCTTTTCAAGCTCTTTCTAAAGTAGAACAAGACATATTTTTAATGGCCCAACTTAAAGCCATGGATGGTGGGTCAATAAGCAGTAGTAGACGCCTTAAAAAGAAAACCAGATCAAATAAAAGAACTTTCTATCATTGAGATCACAATACACTTCTTTGTCAAGAAACCTATCTCAATATGTTGGGAATTGGTAGAACTTACTTTGAAAATATTAGAAGCCATCTGATAAACAATGGTCTTCTAGCAAGAGTTCATGGCAATATTAAAAGAATGCCTCAATGGAAAACTAAAATGGTGATTGACAAAAATGTTGCTGAGGTAGTAAAGAATTTTCTGGAAAATTATGCAGAAGTTCATGGATTGCCAAGTCCAGGAAGAAGTATCAATAGAATAACCCAATCAATTGTATTCTTACCAGCTGAAATGAGTTACAAATCAGT